TACACCAGAAGAACGATCAGACAACCACATCAACACAACTCATTTAATTTCAGGTGAAATATATTTAATTGATCATTTGCTCAGGTAACACTTAATATTATTTTAATTATAAAGTGTATCTTTATATACACACTTTGATATACATCAATTACAAATTACAATAACATTTTGACTTTTTGTGATATTTCATACCAGCTATTGTTTTAGTGTAATTTGTTGCTCATTTAAGTTTTTTATTTATTTTAATTTTTTTGGGATCCTTGTCAAAACTTCTCTATACTTTTATCTTAAGTGTTTAATCAAGGTATTCTATGAGTATACATTACAGTGATAACATTTTTAGCTGTGCATTTGTTCTACCTTTACTTTTTATGACAATATGCAATCTAACAAAGCCTTTGTAATTTTTTTGTTTTAGAAACACTGGCAGTATCACAGTTTTATCAATCAAGACAATGCTGTAAATATAAATGCAGATGTATTGTTCATGAAAAGCAGACAATTTGTGAATTTGAATGCTTAAGGCTTAAAAGAATAATTTACCCAACAATGAAAATTCTTTCATATACTCACCTTCATGTTGTTCCAAAGGTGTATACATTTCTTTCTTCTGTGGAATACAAAAGAAGATTTTTTTAAGAATGTTGGTAACAAAACAGTAGCTGGTAGCCATTGGTTTGCATAATTTTTATTTTTATTTTCAGTAGCTACTGTCAAAGGTTTGGTTAACATCATTCTTCAAGTAATTCTTCTTTTGTGGTTAACAGATGAAAGAAACCTATACAGATTTGGAACAACTTGAGAGTGAGTAAGCAATGACAGAATTATTATTTTTGGTGAACTTTACTTTTAATTGCAGGTGAAAACTTTGCCAATAATGGAAAGCAGCAAGTTCATGTCAACTGACAGAGCTACAGTTATCATCCAAGTAAATCCACAAGTGAAACAAGATAATGTTATTTGTGATGACGAACAGCAGGCCAGAGGAGCATATCACAATACTGCTCTTAAAGGATTTTTCAAAGCACAACCAAAGGCACTAGGGGTAATGATGAATTATAATTATAAATGATTTTGGGAATATTTTAGTGCCATATTATCTTGTGTGATAAAATGAACAGAAAATAAAACTGTGTTGTCATATGTCCTGAAGTGAATATATGTGTGCCATTCTGATTGCTTTAAGGCTGTAGTGCATAAAACATTACTGTAGCTTTTCTTTGTGTGTGTGTGTTTTCAAACATTAATGATATACCATTATGGGAAAAGATAAATAAATAAAAAATGAATAAACATTTAACCCATATCTGCCCTGTCTAGACTGTCCAGATAATGATAGGAGTGGTGATTTTCTTGTTTGGTATTGTATGCACCACTAATATCAATACCTTTGAGCCACCCATTTTTATCTTTAGTGGCATCACCTACTGGGGATCCCTTATTGTAAGTTTCTTTTTCACGGCTTTGCTTTCTAGCTTCTTATTCTAATTTCCAGAATGAACTTTAACATGTCCTGTGTGTCTTTCTCAGTACATCAGTGCTGGCTCTCTGTCTGTTGCAGCGCAGAAAAAACTTCATCTGTGTGTGGTATGTATATATAATGTGCTGAAAAGTAGGGTACAGTGGGTACGGGGTAAAAGGACTTTGTGATTTTATTCTCAAACTCTTAAAAACCAAATAGCAACAAAATCAACACCATTTTCCTATATATACCTTTCGCTGCCTTAATATTTACATAATTTTGAATTAAAACAAACAAGAACAACAGCTTTTTATGTAACTTGTATTTACATGAGAACTATATTTAAAAAAAAGATGCTCCAGTATTAAAAAATATATATATATTTTTTGTATCAACATATTTTGGGATGAGTAATCTTAAGGGAGATTTTAGTCACGCTAATACATTTGCGTAAACAGAATACCACAAAACCACAAACCTTTCCATGATAAACTCTCTTTTACCACAGTAGTCTGAAACACGAGACCCTTTTACCACTAAATGGATGTTGACTAAAAGAACATCTGACTCATTTTCAGTTTTCAAGCCGTTTTACATGTGTACACCATTATTATAACTATATGTCACCTTTTAAGCATCAACCTTTCTTCCTGTAGGTGAAAGCCTCTCTTGGGATGAATGTGATCAGTGCCATAACTGCAGCGATCGCCATAACTCTGATGGCCGTAGAGATACATCACATTTCAATGCCCTATCGAAGATGCTCCTATAACTACGACTATAACGACAATCGTACTGACACTGTCATTTGTTCAGAATTGAAGGTGCTAAATGTACAATTTGCAATATATTAATATGATCTGTTTAAATTTGTTTTTAGTTTTTAATTGCTGTTTTATTTGGTTAAATTAATAGTTCAATTCAAAATGACAATTGTGTCATCACTTACTAATTTTACTAATAGAGA